AAGAGTATGAATCATCTCGTCGCTCTATATAAAAATCGTATATAAGCATAATATAAGTATATTAGCAATAGTTTATGAATATACCACAATGTGAGTTTATAAATTGTGCCGATAGTATCTCGATTATGAATTATGTATACCTGCTTCTACGTCCGCTCGCCATAGATTAAAGTTATCTTTTTTTAAGGGTTTAATTAACATTGCAGCAAAATGATCAAGAGCTGATAACAAGTATTTGCTTTGGATTCGAAAATAAAACGTTGTATTCTCGCATTCCGTTATGGAATAAGTGAAGCCACCACACTTACTCGTAAATGCATCAAAACTAATATTAGATTTACTATCCTGCAAGTAAGGTGATACTTATACACATTATAATGTAACAATAAATGAATTTTATGAAATCACATTTAAATACGCTATATGATAATACTTGGAAATATTTTTCGGATCCCATATAATCTAATAATTTCTCAAAGTAGCATGCTATGCCTGGATTTTCCAATGAATTGCTGAAACAGCCTACCCCCACACATAAGCTACAGTGTGCCTGTATAAAAATATTGCGCATTATATACTGGCTAAAATTGAGGAATGAGTACATCAGTAGAAATAAATGGAATGATCCGTAATCAACTTCAAATTGAATTATATATTTTGAAATGAATTTATAGAAACTCTTCTACGTACAGTTTAGGAAACCAAACTTTAAGCACTTCTAAATTCCTCGTAAATATGATAATTACTCTTAGATTTTGAAGAGAAAGATACTTTTCATGATTCTGTAGGTTTAACTTCACTCTTGTAATTCTAATGAATCTTTGTGACGGATAAAGTAAAAGGAAAACTTAGGGTTGGTAAAGATAAATCTGAAAATAAACTATAGACTGTCCTGTTTGTACCATTTTTTCATCTTCTTCATTTGGATATTGGGTAACTTTTGAATGTTCATCGGATATTAGCAACGCTGTGAAACCGTTCGGTAATCTGATGACTCTAAATTTAAAAGAAATAATAAACAATAATAAAATTTTAACGGAAATTTTGATCTTATAAAAAAAAATATATTTCTGCCATTTGTTATAAAACAATGCAATGTAACGTTTTTGATAGTTTCCCATCCTAGTATTTCTTATGTATTTTAATCGAAATCAAATTGCTGAGTATTTATTCTCGCCTCACCTATATTTTTTCTTGTCGTTCTCCGATTTGACGGGCCGTTCCAAATATTCAACTCCATTTCCCTTTTTTCGTTTAGCTCTATATGACATTACGTCAATGTGCAAAAAATCAGAATGAAAACTAAGTTGATCAGTAGAGTGTTATCCGAGAAGAAAAAGATCTTGAGCTTTTGATTCCTTTTATAAACTTTTAATAAATTTAGCACAGTGTTAGTCGGTACTCTAAAAGATACTTTCTTCTTCCTTTGTAGCACTCGAATGAAGATCAATGTATACCTTATATATATATGTATATATTTGTAAGCAGAAAAAGTATAGGAAATAAAAGCAATGTCATAGGTCGTACATACGTTAACTTATTTAATTGTGGTATTTACACTGTTATATAGGGCGAGTATTAATGGAGAAATTTGGTTTTTAAAATTGTCTTAAGTACAATTTCAAAATGTCTCATAAACTAATCGCAGAACTGTATCAGCTACATCTTAAATAATTATTTAAAATGACATTGACATAAGAACTGCCTAAAATGGTTGGTTTTAGTTTAACTTAATTAATTACATATTGTTGTCCATATGCGTGAAATAGATTTCACACGTGAGATTCGCGCTAGTGATTTGAATCCAATTCTTTTGAACTACTAATCGACCTAGATTAAAAACCGTGCTTCGGTTTAGGATACCAATGCATGTCTAGACACGCGTCTGACAATGGTCAGTCATTATTAAAAGAAATAGAAAGCATACGATGTTTAAAAATGAAATAAACAGAGAGTACCGTGTTTGAAAATTTCTGGCCACTTTTTCCATTAAAACTAAAATATTAGCTGCGATTTGTTGAAAAATTCACCCAAACTCTTTGCGAATTTTGGTGCGAACGATATTCGGACAATAGAAAAAACGGATCGAGAGACGTATCTTTGCCAGAAATATCGCTGTGAATCGATAATTATATCATTACTAACGAACACTAAGTGGTCAATAATGACGAATTTGGTTGGATGCACTCAATGCGTACTAGTGCACGTTAAAGTTGTCGTTTTCCAACTGACGTAAAGACACGTGTTTAATGTAAATATAAAAACGGATTGTACCGTGAAGTCCTTAATATATTTTATTGTGCTGTTTGTTGTGCAAGAATTGCCATATAAATGTATCGATATATCTTAAAATTTTATGTTTATAACTCTAACGCACGCTTTGAACAAATACTTACTGATATTTTTTCGCTATAAACCCATATATTTTTATTGCAAAATCTTTCCCAGTGACAATGATCTTATAATCATTCCCAGCTGTTGTAGCTGGATATAATCGATCCGTTAACAATAGAAATATTTCGCAGTATATATGCATTGGAACTGCACTGTATTGTCATTAATATTATTATAAGTTTTTAAAAAAGATAACTTATATTAAAAAATCATAATATTACAAATTACAATAGAAAGAAATAAATTATATAGCAAAGTTACGCTCAAAGTTCGATATTGTTCAACTGTAGCAAACATCGCTGAAATACATGATATGTCATGTCATGTTCATGGAATCGTATGTTTTTCAAGATTAATTTTCGGAGCGAATCAAAGTAAAAGCCATGTTTGCTGCGATTTTTAGAAATAGGTGTTATCCAGTACTTTTTCTTTTTTAATAATTGTATATTAGCAATTGCAACGGCTATGCGTCGCCTCCGAATCTTTGCTGCAGCTATAGCTGCTACTATACGGGTATATTCTTTTACACACTCGATGTATTCTCATTTTTGTAATCCATTTTTGTAATCCATTTTAATTAAAATGTATTAAAAGCTAGCGAAAATAAGTAAGTGTATTCGTTAACTTAAAGCCAGCGAAGATACGCTCCATGAAAATGAAGCAGGAGAAGAGCGAACAACCTTTGAACGCTGCTTTGATTTTGATGGAGCGGGGATAAAAGCCAGCCTTCCGCTGCGTGAAATTGCACCTTCAGGCGTCGAATGTTCTTTCTCAGTTTTTTTTATTTAAATATTCCATGTTACAATATGTAAAGTGTTCCTAATGATATTATAATAATAGGTATGATTTATAAAAAGAAAAAAAATAGCGACAATAAATATGAAGGATTGGAATGAAAAGCTAATTAAAGAACCTCAATGAATTGTCATTATTACGTAAGGATTTTGGTACTAAATTACGCATGTAAGAAATAAAAGAATTATTATTATAAGACGGTTACAATTCATGATCAGTGAACGGTCGTGTCTCAACACTAGAGAAAACGCACAAATCAAGGCCGTTCAACAATTAGCGTTTTATTTCCATTAGATTATTATGGAAGTACTACTTCCCATACAGCACCAATGTTTGCAGCAATTGCTACAACGTTGCAACATTGCAATGCAATGTTTCAGAAACATTGTTAAAATATAGATATGCAACATCATTTTAATAATGTTGCAGCAATATTAAAAAAAATTCTGCAAATAAACTACTGATTCTATGCTTGAATACTTGTGTACGCATATACATTTTATAACTGTCAAATTTTATTAAGTATCAATCAATTTTTTCTGTACAAACACGCAGTGATTTTAAATGCAATACAAGGCTTGTGTTACATGTAAAATTGTCAATTCCATAGTTATATTACCAATTTTATTATTATAATATTAAATTCGCATTATAATATTATATGATGTAGCATTAATATATATAATGGTACATTTGAAATAGGATTCAATAAATTTTATTTATATATATTTTTTTTAGTATGATGCAATTACGTACGTTACGTATATAATGGTATTTTGTAAAATTTAGAAATATATACGTTTATAATTACTACGTATTAGTTACTTGTTCTAAAATGTCCTTTTACACTGCGTGTAAGATTAGTTTAAAAATAAAAATTAATTATTTTAAAAAATGATTCATAATAAGTATTTCTATAATTAAAAACACTTTTTAAACTAAAATACAAATCGAATTATCAAATTTGGGTGCATTCAGTGAATGTATCCAGAAGCATGACTGCTCACTAAGCGCTCAGTGAGCTCTTACATCTGATTGACATATTCCATTAGATCTAAAAATATAGACCAAACAGGTACAAGAGCTCGCTGAGCGCTCAATGAGCGGTCGTGCTTTTAGATGCACCTAATACCACGACCGCTCACTGAGCGCTTAATGAGCTCTTATATCTGTTTGGTCCATATTTTTAGTTCTAACTGAATATGCCAATCAGATGTAAAAGCTCACTGAGCGCTCAGTGTGCAGTTGTAGTACTGATGAATGCATCCATTCGCTGTAAGTTTTAACATTAAAATTTTCAATATGATTATAAGGCACTCTAAAAACTAAACGTACGTTATTTATGTCATGAATAATCTGTGGGATTATATACAAATGCCAAAAAATGAAGAAATAATATAAATTCGTAATTGCGTTATTAATAATACAGTACTAATAATACATATAGTACGTATTTTTTGTAATATAATATATATATTCTGTTTAGTACGTGGTAGAACATAACATTCATTATTACAATGACGCATTGCAAATTTATTTATTTATTTATTTATGTAAGTATTTTTGCAATGTTTAGCGTTTGTATATATGTTCCACAAATTGTTCGTATAAATAAAAGATATCAATTACTACACCACTACGAAGTATTGTTCAATGTATTATATTGTAATATTGCTGCAATATTGCATCGCAATATTTCTAATGGTGGACATTATATCGTAGCTGCAATGTTGTAGCAACATTATAGCAACATTTTACAATGCAAAAAAATATTGCTGCAACATTTCTGCAATCTTTCTGTGCTGTATAGGTTATTTAGCGCTTTGAGAGGATCCCTCGTTCATTGGATAGATGTAAAGTTTTTTCTTGTAATCTTCTATGTTCCAATACTGCTCATCGTTGATCACGTAATTCAAAGCAAAGTGTTGTATTTTCTCGTTATCCTTTGCGTTATCTATAACCAATCATTGAAATTCAAATTGTCTTAACAATTTTAAACATAATACGAAAACAAAAAAACGAAGGGAAATATAATGTCACAAAATAAGATAATAAATAGAAATCGATAAAATTCTATCAAGACATGAAAAAAATTATCTACTCACAATTTGCTTCGTTGACTTCTTCTTTCTTCGGAGCAGTACCTGCCATATGTATACTCAATTTTCTAAAACTGTATCCGTTTAGTGTGTGCTCATCAAACCATTTTCTTAACTCATCGACTTTTAGGTCTTCTAGTGCGAGCTTTTTCTTCTCGAATCTATCAAACATGTATTCGAACTTCGTGATTTCGTTCCAGTTTCTGTCAACTTCGTGTTTAACATCGCATGTATGCCATGCTTTCTTTATGCTTTCCTTATAATTATCAAAGTCTTCTTCCGATAATTTCTCCAAAATCTCCTTAAACGATGTGAGACATTTTTCTATACTTTGATCTATGTACTCGGTTGAGTATTTATCTGTCCGAGTACAAACGGTAATGTAATATCCTAAAATCCCATTGACATTTCCATTGTCGTACAAAATGTGTTCAAACTCTCCGTCAGGCTCAAAAAATAACGAATCTTGCATTATAAACTGCAAAATGGATAAAATCCATGAAGATAATCAAAGTTATTCGCGTATATCTTTTTCTTTTTTAAAAATAAACGTAAATCAGTGATTAAGTATATTAAAAACATTCCAAACAATGTTATATATTACTAACGATCATCAGTTCGATCAACATCGATAATTCAAACGATGTGACATCAGCTTGATAATAATTTGTCACTACCGATTTCGAATTAGATGAATTAGATTTGTCGATAATTTTTAACTTGCAATAGTTTAGGCCCAAGGGTATCCGAGTCACTCTCATTTGTTGGAACGCATTATTGATCAAGGGACGGCATTTAATATTTTTAAGAAATTGCCCTACATTCTTGATTACATCAAGTTCCGTTATGTTGCTTTGTATGAGACACTGAATATATAAATGTTGAGTAAATGATTTCACAAAGTCTGTAAATTCTCCAAAATTAATTTCACGAAGAGCAGCATGCATATCAACGTGCGTATAATGGATGACCTTCAGTATCGATAATCTTACTTCGCTGCAAAAAAGTATAAACGCTATTGATAAATTGACCCAAATGTAATCTGTTGTAATACATTTTACGATATTGTTATATTTAATATTTATTTATTCTTAATAATTAATTTTTTAATTATGTAAGGATTTTTTATATGTTTCAAGTAGAGATAGGTAAACCTTTTTACTTTGATACAAATTAATTTTTTTGTTGATGTATGAGCATATTTTATGCTTTTCTGTAAGACGTCAATATGTAAAGCACTCAGTTTTCTTTTTGTAAAAGTCTCCTTATTAAATACGCAATGTCTTTCAGCGTGCCTTGGAAAAAAATATGACAGAAGAAAATTCAAATAAAATTTATTTAGGAAATCACAAACATGTAAAACGATGTAATATTATAAATTTAGCATAACTACTATTATTAAAATTTAAGAAAGAAACGCAATTTAAGAAAGAAGATGGTAAAAATTTTACTTTCACATTTGTTACTTTCTTTCCTTTTTATTTAATGTTGAATACAAACAATTTCCGAGAAATTAGGAAGAGTGGTCTTTCTAGGAGACCTGTGTCACTATCGGTGACTTTCTTCTATTATATTATTTTATAGATGCAATTATGCCGATAACAAATAGCCAATACCTGACAAGTTTCGCAGAATTTGTAAATTCGTCGTAATATTTCTCCAGCCGTCGCACTCTGACGATTTCAAATAAATCTCTCGTAACAAGCATTGGATAGGCTACCATGTATTCCTCAATAGTTTTCAACAAGAACTGTAATGTAAGCATATACAATAATGCATCTTGAAATTATATATTTAACTTCACTACTTTAAACATATACTTACTGGCATTTTGTCGTTAAATCCGTATATTTTTAATGTAATACCCTTTTCAGTGACACTGATCTCATAATTAATTCCAGCTGCTGTGGCTGGATATAATTTTTCGATCAACAGAAATGATAATACATCACAGTACATATCCATAAGAGCTGCACTGAAATGTCATTCATATTAATATTTTTAAAAATGAAATATAAATAATTATATAAAAATCACAATAGTAATTACAAGCTAAAAATTAGTGTATTGTTATAGTATCGAAATAGTAGTATATTGTTGTAGTAGTACAATAGTAGCACTATTACGATGACACGCTTTCTATGCCACTTACTTCTTTGGCGACAAAAGCCCCAGAGAGGAAATTAAATGGAAATACATATAGCATTTTGGCAAACGAATCTTGGAATATGGGTGATACCAAATCTCCGCTGTACTATCACTGATCAATTGTTTAGGATATTTTGGAACAGCTGCCGGTACTGACATTAAAGAGTAGTCGCTGGGAAGGAATGTGTTTGGTAATGGTAAATGAATATCTAGCGGTGCCTCAATGGATTTCCAATGTTCGACCCATTCCTGCGGTACAATTGATTTTTCGACGTCTGTATACTTCGTTTTCGACCATTCTTTTACTTCATTTAATTCAAAATCCTTATTGGTAAAAATCATAATATTCGCGGCTTCTGGAGTCAAATAATTCAAACATTGTTGTATATCTTTTGCATTGTACTCGAAATGAAGCTTATTTCCAGTTATATAATCGCGCGACGGATAGAAATGCATACTTCTAGACAAATCTATTACATTGAACTCTGCAACATCTTCTTCGGAAAATCTAAAATGTTTTCCAAGTATAAGTTTTCATATTTATATTTTCTTTCTCAATCGTTCTTCATACATCTAGATATTTCTAAAATTAATCTACCTAAAATTTAATATTGTTTACCTAAAATTATTTTCCCTAATCTTGCGAAGCTCGTCGTAAATTCTTTTCTGCGGACCTGTTTCTTTTAATAAATTGATAAAGGAAAAAATTGCATTTAAGATTTCCTCCAAATGTTGTAATCCCTCATAGGAGAGGATTACCGTAAGATTTAGTAACGTGTACATGGAGGTATGCATGAAATTGTAATGGCATGAAGCTGGCATGAAGCTGTTATTATACATTGTTACTTCACAATTCCATTTTTTGCGTAAATAACTAGTTAAGGACCCTTTCCCTTTATGCTCTATAATCCAGGAGATATATTGATGCGGTTTACTTTTGTAGAAATCGAAAAGCGAGGGCATTGGCCACGTTACTTGTAGCTACAGGAGACAATTTTTACATGTACTTCTATGCATTTATTTGCATTGTATTTTTATTGAAATTCGATTTTTTCACCTACCCGGTTGAAAGTATGGCTATAGCTAACTTTATACATTTGTTGGAAAGCTGGAGTATCAAAAAAATAATCGTTTTTAAATTGGGTAAAATCGTCAGGGGGCAACCCATTATTTAGTACGTCAGAAAAGCACATACTAACATTATTTTCCATTGTATCCAATGGTAAACTTGCCTATAGAAAACATATCACATATTATGACTTCAATACATATATTTATTTGATAAATATTCAATAGTTCTTGTCACAATTTAAACGAAATTACCTGTACAACAAGCTTTATTCTGTGAGCACTGTAATGGCGTCTCTTGAATTTAACCAGTTCTTCGTACAATTTGTTGTCATCCACATTATCTTGTGATGTTATAAAATTGTCTTTAGGAAACTTACAAGCTGGATGACCAGTTCGCGCAAAAGAGGATAACAATTGTTCCATTCTATTCCTGTAAGATGACGAAGGAATTCGTCGCTCTGTATGAAAATCGCATATAACTATAATATAAGTATATAAGCAATAGCACATGAATATATATATATGAGTTTATAAATTGTGCCGATAGTATCATGATTAGGAATTATGTATACCTGATTCTACGTCCGCTCGCCATAGATTAAAGTTATCTTTCTTTAAGGGTTTAATTAAAATTGCAGCAAAATGATCAAGAGCTGATAACAAGTATTTGGTTTGGATTCGAAAATAAAACGTTGTATTCTCGCAATCCGTTAAGGCATAAGTAAAGCCACCACACTTGCTCGTAAATGCATCAAAACTAATATCAGAGTTACTATCCTGCAAATAAGATGATACTTATAACCCACTACAATATAACAATGAATGAATTTTATGAAATCACATTTAAATTACTCTATATGGTAATACTTGAAAATATTTTTCGGATCCCATATAATCTAATAATTTCTCAAAGTAGTATGCTATGCCTGGATTTTCCAATGAATTGCTGAAACGGCCTGCCCCCACACATAAGCTACAGTGTGCCTCTTCATCTTCTTCATTTGGATATTGGGTAGCGCTCGTTTTTGAATGTTCATTGGATATTAGCAACGCTGTGAAACCGTTTGGTAATCTGATGACTCTAAATTTAAAAGATATAATAAACAATATTAAAACGTTAACGGAAATTTGGACCTTATAGAAAAAGGTCTAATTCTTCCTTTTGTTATAAAAGATGCGTTTTAACGTTTTTGAAAGTTTACCATCCTAGTTTTTCTTATGTATTTTGATCGAAATCAAATTGCTGAGTATTTGTTCTCGTCTCACCTATATTCTTTCTTGTCGTTCTCCGATTTGACGGGCCGTTCCAAATATTCAACTCCATTTCGCTTTTTTCGTTTGGCTATATCTGACATTACGTCAATGTGCAAAAAATCAGAATGAAAACTAAGTTGATCGGTAGAATGTTATCCGAGAAGGAAAAGATCTTGAGCTTTTGATTCCTTTTATAAACTTTTAATAAACTTAGCACAGCGTTAGTGGATACTCTAAAAGGTATTTTCTTCTTCCTTTGTAGCACTCGAATGAAGATCAATGTATATCTTAAATGTATATATTTGTAAGCAGAAAAGTATAGGAAATAAAAACAATGTCGTAGGTCGTGCACATGTTTACTTGTTTACTTATTTAATTGTGGTCTTTACACTGTTATATAGGGCCAGTATTAATGGAGAAATTTGGTTTTTAAAATTGTCTTAAGTACAATTTCAAAATGTCTCATAAACCAATCGCAGAACTGTATCAGATGGATCTTAAATAATTATTTAAAATAATCTTGAAATAAGAACCGCCTATAATGGTAGGTTTTAATTTAACTTAATTAATTACTTATTGTTGTCCATACGCGTAAAAGAGATTTCACACGTGCGATACGGCCTAGTAATTTGAACCCAAATTGATTGAACTACTAATCAACCTAGATTGGAAACCGTGCTCCGGTTTAAGATTTCCAATGCATGTTTACATACGCATTTGACAATGGTCAGTCATTGTTGAAAGAAATAGAAAGCATACGATGTTTAAAAATGAAATAAACGGAGAGTACTGTGTTTGAAAATTTCTGCCCATTTTTTCCATTAAAACTAAAATATTAGTTGAGAATTGTCGAAAAATTTCACTCTTTGCTAACGATATTCGGATAATAGAAAAAACGGATCGAGAGACGTATCTATGCCAGAAATATAGCGCTGCGAATCGATAATTGTATCAATACTAACAAACACTAAGTAGTTAATAATGGCGAATTCGATTGGATTCACTCAATGCATACGAGTGCACGTTAAAGTTGTCGTTTTCCAACTGACGCAAAGACACTTGTTTAATGTAAACATAAAAACGGTTTGTATCATGAAAGCCTCAATATATTTTATTGTGCTGTTACGTAAAATACGTGTTTTATAATTTAAAACATTTTACATAGATTAAATCGCTGTATAATGACTGTGATATATACTTGTGATCATTAGTGCGTTCAAGCGATTTTGCTATAAAGAAAAATCATGTCCTTATTATAATGTAAGACATTTTTTTTTATTAGTTTCGAATTTCACATACCAAATGTTTTTAACAATCTATTATACTGTCAAAGTATTCATATACGATTTTATAAACAGACATTAATTGCTCTAAGATCTTCATATTTTTATAATAATTATCTCACCATTCTTATAGACCTTGAATTGATACTATTATAATGGCGATACCTCGGTAACAAATATTCTTATGCACAATGAGTTTGTTAAATAAGAAGCCTTTTATATTAACATCTAATGACACGCGCTATATCATTGTTTTGAACATAATATCTTGATAACGACAGGATGCCATCTAATGACCAGTATACATGTATTAGAAATCTGTACATATTTTTTTATCTTTTTATCTACCAGTTTTAAACCGTTTACATTTTTAATATATATATACTTACCACTTTGGATTTTTAATATTGAGAATGACCCGATCGGGCTCGAAACGGCGTTTGTATTATTTATTGTTTAGTTCTTATTAATTATATTATATTTTTTATTTAAATATTGTCTTCTTATGGTTCGTAGCCCTTCTCAACACTTTTATTATTAATTTTTAACAATATTTTTACATTAATATGGCTTTGGAAGAAATAGAGAGATAATTATAAATATGAAGAATTACATAAGAAGCTAATTTGTAGTGCCTCATTGTAATATTGATATGCAAAAATTAATGTTATATTTAACTATTATTAAATAAAAAAAGAAGTAAAAAAAATCCTTATGAATACATCGCAATTAATATTTTCACAAATATGTGTTATGGTATCATAAGACAGTACAGTTCACGGTATAATCGGCAGATGTGATTGATTTTGGCGTTAAATAAACGCGAGTCCGGATCATGTATACTATACGTTTAATTTTTATTATATTATTATTGTTGTAGTATCATTCTCATTGGGCGTTCTAAAGGTATTCTGGACTTGCAGGATAAATGTAGAGTTTTTTTTTGTAATCTCGTACCTGTAGACTTGATTGATTATAGATTATATCTTTCTCAATACGGAGCTGTTTTCTATCATGATCCTTTGCGCTACCTATTACAATAAATTTTTTAAAATTGTAATTGTCTCTGTAACTTTAAGAATAATTCGATAACAAAAAAATGAAAGGCAAACAACGTCACAAAATCAGAAAACAAATCGATATCGACCAAAAATTGTTTAAAAAATTAAGTTATCAACTCACAAGCTTCTTTCTCAACATAAAAATCCTTTGAATCTTTTTCTGTCACATGTATGCTCAATTTTCTGATATTACTTTTATTTGATATATACTTTGCAAAAAATTCTTTCAAATCGTTGATTTTTATCTCCTTTAGTGCAAGCTCTTCTTGCTCGCGTCTGTCAAACATGTATTTACGCTCTATGATCTCATTCCAATTTCTTTCAACTTCTCGTTCAAGATTGTTATCGACAGATGATGTTCTTAGTTTTCTTTTCTCCTTGATACGATCCAATTCTTCTTCTGAGGTCCCTTCCAATATCTTATTAAACGATTTGAAAAATTCGTCAATGTGTTGTTCTGCCTGTATGGTTGAAAGGCATTCAGTTGTGGCAATACTAACAGCAATGTAAAGTCCTAAAATTCCGTTGTCATTTTTAAGGAAGCACCCAGCAGTTTCTAATTGTTCTTCAAATTCTTGCATTAACTTTTCGAATAACGGTAATTCCATTACTATCTGAAATAAATGCAGATTTGATATAATGTATGGATAAAATCAATCGCAATAATCAAAGATGTTATTCAAATTGCATTTAATTTTCAATACAAATAAATATCAACCGGCAATACCATATATATTCAATATATATGATGTTAATTAATATTTACCGCCATCAGTTCGATTACCAACGACAATTTAATCGACGTGGCACCAACTTGATAATAACATCTCACTATGGAAGATGGTGGAAATTCTTCAAATCTTTTGAAACTTTTTAACATCCAACAAGTTGTGCCTAGATTTATCTGATTAATTCTTATATCGGGCAACGAACTAAGGTGCAATGGCTTATAATTAATCATTTTAAGAAATTTCCGTATAGTGCTGGACACAGTATCCTCCGTCATGTTACCTTGTACGAGGCACTGAACGTACAGATGCTCAGTAAAGTAATGTATAAAGAATTGAAGATCTTTAAAATAGGTAGTATATAGCACAGCGTACTTATCAAGGTATGTATGATGGACGAACTTCAGTATCCATAATCTCATGTCCCTGCAAAAAGTTTCAAGGTGTAGAGTAAGATAGTACAATTTCGAACATGGTACAATTCTGAACGAAATAAAATTTGAATCCAATTTTTGAAATTCAAATTTGATTTTTTCCTGTTTAGTACCCTTAATAATTAATGATAATATAACAATAAGTAATAAGTATCATTAATTATTGTTTTTTCCACTTAAGAGTTTTATAATTCCAGATAACATTTGGTCAGTATTTTGATGACTTGTTAAATATGTTCCAATCACATTGCCAACAAGGTGAGTTCTCACTCTATATAATATTGCAAGCAAAAAAAGTATTCAAACTGAATACAGCAACTTTGTAATAAAAGTGTATGATAATGGGAATATTTCTGCAAAATTTCGAAATTTTTTATTATTAAATGTGTAAATAGTTTCTAGCAACATACAAGAAAAAGATTAATTGAACAAACATTTCTATATCATTATGGCAATATGACGGTAAAGGAATTGCTAGCAAACGGATTGCACTGGTTTTTTTTCGCATAAAGTGTTATCTGGGATTGCAATTATACTTGATAATAATATAAACTGCCAATACTCGACAAGATTCCAAGATTTATTTAATATGTTGTAATAGGTTCCTATTTGGTGCTTTTTGAAAGTTTCAAATAATTTCTTCGTAATTGTTGGATAGACTTTGATGTATTGTGCAATAATGTTCAGCAAGAGCTGCAATATAAATATAATGATATACCTTAAAATTTTATGTTTATATCTTTAACGCACGCTTTGAACAAATACTTACTGGTATTTTTTCGCTAAATCCATATATTTTTATTGCAAAACCTTTCTCAGTGGCAATGATCTTATAATCAATCCCAGCTGTTGTAGCTGGATATAATTGGTCCGTTAACAGAAATGTCAATATTTTACAGTATATATCCATAAGAACTGCACTGAAATGTCATTAATATTAAGGTTTTAAAAATGAAATATATTATATTAAAAAATCATGATATTACAAATTTGAAATTATTATATAATGTTAGTAGTACAATGTTAGTAGTATAATACACTGAAAAAAAAATTTACAGATTTTAAATAAATATCTACTCCAATAGTACTAACGAAATATTTATTTATAGTAAATAAATATTTATTCAAAATAAAATAGTTATGTTTAAATCGAATAAATATATGTTTATATTTAGTAAATATTTCGTTAATATTATTGGAGTAAATATTTATTTAAAATCTGCAAATTTTTTTTCTGTGTAGTAACCCTACTATTATATAGTTGTATTATTACATTTTTTATGTTATTACTTACTGCTTCGGTGATTGAAGTACCAAAGGAGAAACCAAATGTAAGTTTATGTGACATTTCGGTAACTTGTTATCCGGGCGATAATAAACCTCCATTTGATGATTATTGTGTAATTGTTTAGGATATTTTGGAACTTCCGCTGGAATTACTATTGAAGTGAAGTCCTTAGGAAGGAATAAATTTGGATGTGGTAAATGAAATTCTGGCAATGGCTTGATGAATTTCCAGCGTTCAATCCATTTCTTTGGTATGTCGATGTCTGTGTACCTCGTTTTCGACCATCGTTCGACTTTATTTAATTCGAAATTCTCAAAATCCTTGTCAAAAATCATAATATTCGCAGTCTCTGGTACCAAATCACTTAAACATTTTCGTATATGCTCTGAGTTATATTCGAAATACAGTTTGTTCCCGGTTAAATAATGGCGCGATGGATATAAATGCATATTCATACACAATGTTTTCACATAATCTAGTAGATCATCTTCATCAACATATCTAAAAAGATCTTCAAGTATAAGTAATGTTTCACAAATATTTTATCGGCTAATTTCTTTCAATCATTTTATTTATTTATTTTTAAAATTACTTTACCTAAAAGACATTTGTTCGCTCTTATAAAATTCATCGTACAATCTTTTCTGTGGCTCTTCTGTTTTTAGTAAATTGATGAAAGAAAATATCGCATCTAGAACTTTTTCCAGTTGTTGTTGTCCTTCATAGGAGAGATTTACAATAAGCTTTATTAAACTGTACATGGAGCAATGTTTAATTTCACATCGAAGTGTATCAATGGAATTTATACAACTCCACATATTTTTGCGTAAATAACTAATTAAAGAGCCTTTTCCTTCATGTCCAATAATTTGTAAGATATATTTATGTGGTTTACTTTTATATAAATGAAGTAGCGAAGGTATTACCCATGTTATTACTAACTGCAAAAAACAATTTTTATTTTATACATTCATTTATATATAATATTTACTTATTGTTAGTACAAATATAGCGTTTTTCAATCTGTTCAAATTGTAGCCACATACTTCTCTGTCATCTTTCGAAGGATCCTTAACTTTATACATTTTTCGGAAAGCGGAAGTAGCAAAAGGAAGACCGTTTTTAAATTCAAAGAAATCATCGGAAGGTAGCCAGTTAGATGATACATCTTTAAAGTACGTCGAAATTAAGATAAAATTTTCCAATTTATCCAGCGGTATTTCTGACTATAAAAAGATATATCATGATGTAAATTAATTTTATTTTTGAAACAGATAAACTATATGCTAAAAATAATATATGATTTTCGTTTTAACAAAGTTCGATTTTAATAAAGTTACCCGTATAACCAGCTTCATTCTGTGAGCACTATAATGGCGCATTGTGAATTTCTGCAACACTTCATACAATTCCTTTATGTTTACATCTTTGTTGTTCTGCAATTTTATTAAATAGTCCATAGTAAACTTGTTAGCTGGATGACCAGTTTCCGCAAAGGAAGAAAGCAGTGGCTCCAGTCGATGTTTCATAAAATGTAAAGCCCTCTGAAACTCTATATGAGCATGGTATGTCAAGGTTGCAAGTTGCGATAACAATATTACGATTATGATTTATGTACCTTTTTTTATGGCCGTTGATTCGTGCATAAACGTATCTATGTTCCACAATGGTTTAAGGCAAAATTTAGCTAAACGGCGGAGAGCATGAAACAAGACTTCTTCTTGTATATCAAAGTGAAATGTTGTATGTTCGTAATCCATTGCGGTATTATTATAACCACCATACTTTCTGATAAATGTTTGAAAATTACATTTCTGCAAATAAGATGAGACTTACATTTAAATATAAACGAACCAAGAACTTTTATAGTACATTTACGCATCATGTTTTAGTACTTGTGAATGTTTATCGATTCCTCTGAAAAGCATATAATCGAAGAAAATTGCTATGCATGGAATTTCTGGTGGATCGCTGAAAGTTCCTACTCCTACAGATAAGCCACATGTTGCCTGTTTAAAAAATATACGTATACACACCGCGCATTACACGCAGTGTTAAATGAACAATGAATCATTGGAATGACTTGTAAACAAAATTTCAAATTGAGCAAAGCATTTCAAAATCGATTTATAGAGAAATTATTCTGCTGATAATAAAAGAGATTAAGTTTCTCAAACTCTAAAACTTCTGACAAGACAATTAGACTTTGAGAAGATAGATTTTTTAAATAATTTTATAAATCTATCTTTAATATTACAGTTTTTATGCATTCTTAATAATAACAGATTAGTAAAAAATAATTGATATAAAATACGTTTTAAAATGCAAATTAAATTCTCTTATACCTTTTTTCCGACGTTCTTATCTTGACCATGAGAAGTGCATGTTTCTGCATGTGCATTGGATATTAACAAAATTTCTAAACCGTTTGTTAACCTGATGGCTCTAAATTTGGAAGACAAAATAAACAATAATGAAGTTAATGAGGATAATATATATATTGTTCATTATTTTTAAAAAATTGAATCCTTCTCTTTGAAGAAAATGCATTATAACTTCCCTACCAAAAATTATCCTCATAATATTTCTCACGCAAATTTCGATTAAAATTGTGCTTGTTGCTGAGTATTCGTTTTCGTCTCACCTATATTCTTTTTTGTCATTCTCCGATTTGACGGGTGTTTCCAGATATTCAACATTATAACACTGATCTTTAAACGTACTCTCGACTGGCTCCACTTTTTTCATTATATCCGGGCACGAGAAAATTAGAATAGACGTTATGTCGGTCGGTACAATTCAGATAATTCACAATAAGATTTTGTATCGTTTTTAATTTCTTTTTCAGTAGTAACTTTGCGCGATTTTAATTAGCACTCTAATCGATACACGTTCTTCTTTCGTTATGGCACTTGCTGTCGAACGAAGATTAATGTACGGCTAAGAAATTGTAAGCAAAGGTCGTAGATGTTTATTTACTTCTATTATTCCCAGTGATCTATAGAAAGCCAATATATGACCGATCTGTTTTTATATTTAATTTCGTTTAAATATAATCTTAAAATATCATAAATCAATCACTGAGCCTTATTAGCATCTTAACATATTATTTAAAATTACTATATTACTGTAAATAAGAAGCAACTGTGAATGCTTGCCTAATTGATTATTGTTTAATTTACTATTATTTTATTATTGCTAGGCACATTCTTGAAAGAGGTCACACATGTGCAACACGCTCTAGGAATGTGAATAGAATAAACCTAATTTTGACCTGCATCCCTGAGTGCCGAGATTCTAAACGTTTCAGTTAAGGACCATGGTTGCCAGTTTTCTGATTTTTTGTCGAAGATTACAGTTTTTTGAACCAATCTTCGGCAGTCAGGCAGATGAGAAAATCTCCGGTTTTTCTAAATTTTTCGGTCGCTGTAAATTTTGATATCCCTTTTTTTAATCCAGAAACTGCGTTTGGTGCGGGATCATAATTATAATAAATTCTGTAATTATGTGTTCGCAGTTTAATATTAAAATAGTACAAATGGATTAAAAAATATGGTTATTATGGAAATAAAGAAAAGATGTTTTTACCGCTCATATGCTCACTTCCGGTTTTGGGAAGGAATCTCTAGATAAATCTGATGACCTTTTTTTTTTAAGAAGACTCTACATAACTCTGATGAGAAAAAATATAAATCCGATTATATAAATTGGATGTAATGAATAGTAACAGAAGCGTAAATGAAACTTCTAGAAGGCGAAAATTAGAACAATGAAACATAAAAGAAGCATTTACGCTTTTTTTACATTTTAATGTTTCAATTTTCGCCTCCTAGAAGTTTCGTTTACGCTTCTGTTACTCTCCCATTAAGTTTGACTTACGCTCCAATTTTATTTTCACCAAACAAAGAAACAATCGATTTCCGGGATAACAGTCTAATCATCAATACACAGATTATCGAGCTTAAACAAAAATTCGAATGGAACATCATTCGAAAACTGGCAACTCTGTTAGGACCAACCAGTTCAGGTATACACATACTTTTCTGTCAGTCATCGGTTATTGTTATCTTTCAAAAGGTACTCTAAAAGACAAGTGAATGGCAAGATTCACGGAACTTTTTGGTATCTCTAAAGAAAATATGCAAAAGTTTCCAAAATATTTTTAAAAGCTAATATGCATGTTATATATATAATAGAGAGCATTATGTTTAAAAATTTCTCTCCAATTTCTTTTCTTTTTTTTTTAATATAACATTGTTCGACAAGAAATGTCTTTTTTTTTAACACCAGAACAAGACCAATCATTTTTTTTATGACTTTTGTTAAAAATAATCAGCTGTTAATGGCGTTCTAAAAGAAGACTCTTAACACGAGTAGAAAAATAGAAAGACTTTACTTCCTGATTAGCATTATATATTATTACAGTTATATTTGTATTTGTTCTTTAGTTGTTATACTTATGGCATGATTTCCATTATTTGCTTATAATCCTTCATGCAAAGAAGAACGTGCAAAGAATAATTGTCATTAATAATTAAAATTGTCAATATGTAATCCTCATAAACTCTTATTTTAATTGAGAAAATTTCATTTGATTAACTTCAAGTATTCTATGTTGCAAAATACAAAATGTTCTAAACTACATTCGTTATTATAATGTACCATCGCGCGCGGAAAGGATATAGAAGCAATAGTATGAAGAGTTACATGAAAATGACAGTAATAAAATCTCATTATATTGTTGTTATGCGAAGATTAGTAGTAAATTTAATCATTCAACAAATAAAGAAAATTCTTATTATTTTAAAATAAAACGATTAATAACTTTATTGTCATTATATTATTATTGTTAAAATGTCGCTTATTCATCACTTAACAATAAGTCAATTATCCTTCAATTACTGGATGAATGTTGAGTTTTTTCTTGTAATCATCTATTTCATTAATAATATGATGAATTTGGTTATGCTGCTGATCGTCGATTACGTCCAAAGCTAAGTATTGTACTTTCTTAAGATCATTTCCTACAATATGTATGCTCAATTTTCTGAAATAATTTTCATTTAATATGTGCTTTGCAAACCATTCTCTCAGCTCGTTTATTTTTATTTTCTGTAATGCAAGTATGTTTCTCTCGATTCTGTCAAACCTGTATTGACACTTTGTGATCTCACTCCAGTTTCTCTTAACTTCTTCTTCAATGTTGATATCTATATATTGCTTAGTGTCTTTGGTTACTATTTCCTTGATATCATCCAATTGATTTTCTGAGATTTCTTCCAAAATATGTTTAAACATTTTAAAAAATTTATCGATCTGCTGGTCAACATGCTCACTTGTGTATTTATTTTCCTGAGTATGAACGATAATACAATATCCTGCAATTCCTTTGGTATCTCTAAAATCGCATGAAACATGATGTAAGTTTTCTTGGAATTGCCATTGTAATAATGATGGCTCCATTATCATCTGAAAGTACGTTCGGATAAAATTAATCGCGATAATCGAAAATGTTATTCATATTTTATTTACTTTTAAAAATAAATGAATATACACCAAAAGTTCCATGCATTCAAAGACTGTGTTCCAAAATTTGCTGCCAGTACTGAAAATCCACAGTGCATATAACGTAAACTATAGATTTTCAGTACTGGCAGTAAATTTTGGAACATAGCCAAAAATATACAAGTTAATAAAATGTTATTTAATATTTACGATCATTAGTTTGTTTAACATCAATAATTCAATCGACATGTGATCAGCTTGATAATATTGCATCACTACAGAATTTGCATCTAATTTGTTAATATTTTTTAACTTGCAATAGCTGGTACCCAACGGTAATCGAGCAATTTTAATCTGTTGTATTGGGTTGTAACCGGAGGGTAAAGGACTGCAATTAATTATTTTAGCAAATTGTTGTACAATCTCGATTACAGTATTTTGCATCATGTTGCCTTGCACGAGGTACTGAATATACAGATAATCGGTAAAAGATTTCGCAAAACGTTGGAAGCCTTCGAAATTGATATTAATTAGAGCATTGTACTTATCAACGCATGTATAATACACGTTCTTTAATATCCATAATCTTACGTCACTGTAAAAAAGGTTAAAGCTGTATATATTATTGACTAATCCCTAGAAAAATGTAATCTGATATAATTTATTTTATAAAATTTGTTGTTTATTTATTAATATATATTATCAATTATTTCTTTCCGTTATGTAAGAATTTTATAATATTGTTGTAATTATGTTTAACAGTAAATATAGTTAGTACTCGGCGAGATTCTCAGGTTTGATGAATACATTGTAATAGATACTAAGTTCTTTCATTTTGACCATTTCAAACATATCTTCTGTTACTCGGTTTGGACAGTCCACCATGCATTTTGCAATAGTCATCAATAAGAGCTGTAATATATACAAATAATGTATTTCAATATTATATTTATAATTCCAACATATACCTTGAATGTATTACTTACTGATAGTTTTTCGTTGAACCCGGACATTGTTAGTACAATACCTTTTTCATTAGCTCTGATCTTATAATTGTATCCAGCCTGTATAGCTGGATACAGTTCTTCCACCAACAGCAGCTCTAATATATTGCGATACGGTCTTATGAGAGCTGCACTGAAATGTGAAGGAACGTTTTTTTAAAAATAAGATGCAAATAATTATATGAAAATCGTGTATTGATAACCCCAACTTAGAAATTAATGTATATTAAGTCAGTAATACTACAATGCGTATATTAATACATTAGTCATACTACATTACATACTTCTCCGATGATTGAAATCCTAGAGAGGAAATAAGATGCATATTCATGTGACATTTCGACAAACGAAACTTGGGATTCGGGCGATACCAAACCTCCGATATACTATTACTGTACAATTTTACAGGATATTTTGGAACTTTCGCTGATATTGGTATTAAAGAGAAGTCGCTGGGAAGAAATATATTTGGTAATGGTAAATGAAAATCTGGTAATGGCTCGATGGATTTCCAGCGTTCGATCCATTCCTTCGGTACCTCGATATCTATGTACTTTGTTTTCAACCATGGTTCGACCTTACGCATTTCGAAATGATCAAAATCCTTGTTGAAAATCATAAAATTCGCGGTCTCTGGTACCAAATAATTTAAACATTTTTGTATAGCTTCTGGATCATATTCGAAATGAATAAATGAACAATTTCCAGCTATATAATAGCACGGCGAATAAAAATGCATATTCTTACACAAGTTTTTCACATAATTCAATGGATTCTCTTCATCGACAAATCTAAAAAAGTGTAAGTAGCGTTTCACGAGTATTTTATGAGGCTTTTTCTTTCAATAATTGTCGTTTATTTATCTATTTGTTTCTAAAATTAGGTTACCTAAAAGAATTTTCTTCACTCTTACAAAACTCGTCGAAAATTCTTTTCTGTACACCCTCTCTCTTCAGTAAATTGATAAAGGAAAATATCGCATTTAAAATCTTATCCAGATGTTGAAATCCTTCACGGGATAGCTCTACGATAAGCTCTACTAAACTATACATAGAGTTATGTTTACTATTACAATAAAATGCACGTTTGGAAGAAGTACAGATCCACATTTTTTTGCGTAAATAACTAATTAAGGAACCTTTTCCTTCCTGTTCAATACTCCGTGAGATGTACTCATATGGTTTACTTTTGTGGGGATCGAGTAACGAAGGCATTGCCCATGTTACTTCTAACTGCAAAAAACAATTTTTATTTTATATAATTATTTAAATTTTTATGTAGTATACTTTCTAAATCTGAATCAGTAGATAGTCACTAATTACCCAATGGCATACTTGGCACTGATAATTAATCAGTGAAGTTCAACTAAAAAAGAAAGAATGTTTGAGCATTGTATAACTAAAATACTGATATTTGCACGTTAATTTCAATCTTCCAATACCATATTTATTGAATTTAGGCATGAAAACAAGATTAGTTAGATCACATAATAAAGATTAGCTAGATCAGGAATCTCACATTTAATTCACTAATTACTAGTGATATATTTGGCACTGATATCAGTGATTATCCACTGATTCAGATTTAGTAAATATAAATTCTTTCTGTTCTGGTCAAATTTTAGTCACATACTCTAAAAAGTTTCGAAGCATCAACTTTATATATTTTTCGGAAAACAGGAGTATCAAAAGGAAGAACATCTTTAAATTCGGTAAAATCATCTGAAGGCAGTCCGTTAGTTGGTACATCACCAAAGTACGTTGTAACATACTTTTCTAATGTATCCAACGGTAATCCTACCTATCAAAATATGTAATATGTTATAAACTAATTTCATTTTTGAAATATAAATAAACATATATATAGTTATACTACAAGTAATGAATTATTTTCGACGCAATTTTAATAAAATTACTTGTATAACGAGCTTCATTCTGTGAGCGCTGTAATGACGTTCTTTGAATTTGAGCAACTCTTTGTTCACTTTGTCGTAATTCGGATTATTGTTCAATTGTACTAAAGTGTCTCCAGTAAATTTATTGGCGGGATGTCCAGTTCGCGCGAAAGAGGAAAATAGGAGTTCTCGTAAGTTCTTGGCACAAAATAACGCTATCTGAAATTCTACGAGCTTGACATGTCGAAACTACAAGTTGCAAAAACAGTACTGTTAGTTAAATGTAATCTACTTATTTTTATAACCTACCATTTTCTATGGCTTTTAATTCCTGCTTATATGCGTATGTTTTTAACAAAGGATCAGTGAAAAATTTAGCAAAATGGATGAGAGCTGATAAGAAGTTTTTCTCTTGGATATCAAAGAAAAATGTTGTATGTTCAAAATCCACTGAGTAACCACACGTGCCACCATGATTGTAGATAAATGCTTCCAAATTATATTTCTACAAGTAAGATAATATATGATCATTTAAATTGTGTGTACGAATATAAATAAATTTTATAGTAAATTCACGCATCATTTTACTGGATATTTTCCAAATCCAAAGAAAAGCATGCGCTCGAAAAAGTGTGCTATTCTTGGGACTTCTGGTGGATCGCTGAAACTTCCTACTCCCACATATAAGCAACATGCTGCCTGTTTAAAAAATGTATATAATGTACATATCACGCGCATTACACGCAGTGTTAAATAAAGAAATAAGCACATTCGACAAAACGCCTCGTAAACAGTTTGAAATTGAATAAATAAAAATTTCATATTTCGAAATCAATTTATAGAAACTCTTTTGCAGTGCAGGAAACCAAATTTTTTAATTCAAACTTCTGATAATACAGTTGTACCTTGAGAAGATAAATATTTCTTGAGACACACACACACATTTAGTAGGGCTGTCTTTAACATTATAATTTTAATGAAATCTTAATAATAGGATAAAAATATAGCTTACGATATATCCTAAAATACAAATTAAATTATCTTGTTCGTACCTTCTTATTATTTATTTTATCTTGATCTTGAGAAGAATATATCTTTACATGTTCATCGGATATTAGCAAAGCTTCTAAACCGTTTGGTAATCTGATGGCTCTAAATTTAAAAAACAACGCACACAATAATGAAATAGGAAGTCAGTGAGAATGTTGTATATATTATTGATTGTTTCAAAAAATTTAATCCTTCCTTCTTTATAAATAAAGAATGCATTGTACATTTCTCCTAAAAAAATTGTTGTATTTCTCACGCCTATTTCAATCGAAATCGCGTATATTCCTAATCAATACTTTTTTTCGTCGCACCTATATTCCTTCTTATCATCCTTTGATTTGATAGGTGTTTCCAGATATTCAACTCGATAACGTTCATTATTTCCAGTCGTACACGCCATCTTTTCCATTACATCAAGAATCGAGGAAATCAAAATAGAAATTAGGTAGATCGGTAGAATATGATCTGATCGAAGATCTCCCAATAATATATTGATTTGATCGTTTTCTTACTTCGATTCCGGTAGACAATTAATAAAATTTTAATTAGTACGCTGATCAATACACTTTCTCCTTTCAATATGGCACTTGCCTTTAAACGAAAATAAATACGGCTAGTAACATGTGTATGTTATAAGCAAAGGCCGTAAGTATGTTCATTTATTTGTATTATTCTCATAGTGATCCAGAGAAAGGATGTATAAATCTATTCTCATATTTAACATTGTTTAAATACAATTTTGAAACATAAACAATCACTGAGCCTTATTAGTGTTTTAACATATTATTTGAAACAGGTTACTTCAAATATGTAAGAACCAATATAAAAACACGAAATGTATTCTTAATAGATGTTATGATAACTTAGAAATCTTAAATGGCATTGTTAATATTCGATGTAAATCTGGGCTTTTGGAGTACAAGTGCTCTGCTTATTTTCTTAATTACATTTGTGAGCAGAATCACGAAATTTTCTTTCTTGTGATAATAAAAAGCAGACCTGCAGTTGATCCAACTAGCAAATAAATTTAAGTTTCTTGCATTTTTAAAACCGTAAAATTCGACTCTGTTTTTATCTTGTATAAACGCTAACTCTCATCACACACAATATTAATGTATTCAATATTTGTAAGATCCCTCAAATCAATTTATAAAAAACACATGTTGGACAACTTTTGTAAAAAAATTATCTCTTTTCAATCGAGTAAGGAAACTTTCGACACGAGTACAGAGAAAGAGAGAGAGAGAGAGAGATGACTTATTGAAAACGTCTTTTTATATCTTGAATATATTTAAATAAATAAGAAATATTACACTTCAATCAGTCTTTATTTCCTGGAGAGATTAACGTCATATTATTACAGTTACACTTATGTTTGTTTTTTAGTTATTGTACTTATAACATGATTTCCATAATTTATTTATAACCTTTCATGCAAAGAAAAGCTCCACAAAGAACAATTATCATTATTATTGTAATTGTTGATACGTAATCTTCATAAATCCTTATTTTAATGTGAGAAAATTTTATTTTATTCACATCGAAGAAGAATATCGTATGTTGCAAAATGCAAGATGTTTCAAATTACATTCGTTATTATAATAATATACTATCGCGCATGGAAAGAATATAGAAGCAATAAGTATAAAGAGTTACATGAAAAGCTGACTATATAATACCTTATTATATTATTGCCGTTACGCAAAAATTAGTATTAAAGAAGTTTATGCATTTAAGCAATTTGAGGAGCACGCTGCGATTATTTGATTCGTCTTTTTTTCATTTAGGGAAAACTAAGGAAGAACTAAACTAATGAAACTAAGGAGCCTATTCTATAACTTTTAACAACTGTAACTGTATCGTTACAGTATTTTTTTTATCTTGTACAAAACCTGCGTAATGACACTGTAACGCTAAAGTTACGTCGTTAAGAGTTACAAAATAGGCTCTATAGTTTCATTTGCTGAATTCGAAAGTCATAGGTAAAATAGTCTTAGTACGCGGAAAATATAATTTTTGAACACGTTTTAACTGAAGAAAGTAACAATTAATTTTATCATTTTATCGAACCATGATAATTTCTCTGGTTTTATAAAAATCATTTTTTTTTCGTTAAAACTGCAGTCATTATTAAAATTGTGACTCTTACTTGCTATATAGATTCGGCAAGCGAAATTGGGAAAAAAAGAATTTAAAAATTTCCGCGTGTCCTAAATTGCCTAAACATATAAATGCATGATTTTTTTTATTATTCAATAAATCAACAGTAACCCCGGAAAAAAATGTTTCGTATATAATTATATTATAAATTGACATACATATTTTATATACAATTATACATAATTATATATTAAATATGTCCATATAAAACATTATTTCCCGGGACCTAATTATTATAAAGAATTACAATTGATAATTTTATTTTTGTTATATTATTATTGTGTAAAAAGGTATCATATATTCTGTACTCTAAGTCGATTAATACTCAGTTACTGGATAGACGAAAAGATTACTCTTGTATTCTTCTACATTAATAATATAATTTTCGTCAATGTTCTTACATTGATGTTCGTCGACTACATATTCCAAAGCAATGGGCTGCACTTTATTGGGATCAGTCCCTATAACATGTACACTCAATTTTTTCATATAATTTTCGTTCCACGTGTACTTTTCAAAGAATTCTCTTAGTTCGTTTATTTTTATTTCGTTTAGTACAAGTATTTCTCTCTCGTGTCTGTCAAACATGTATTGGCACTTCATGATCTCATTCCAGTTTCTATTAACTTCTTCACCAACATTCATATCAGCATGTTGCTTAAATATTCTTAATCTTTCTTTAACATCTTCTAAGTCATTTTCTGAGAATTTATCCAAAAAGTCTTTAAAATCTGCCAGAAATCTATCGATACACTGCTCAACACGCTTAGTCGTGCTTAATTCATCTGCCACTGATTTAGCGGTAATAGAATATTCTAAAATTCCATCGACATCCATAAAGTCGCCTGAAAAGTGTCGTATAAGATCATCAAATTCATATTTCGGTGAAAATAGATTGTCCATTATCATCTGAAAACACGTACGGATAAATATAACTTGTGTATAAAATTAACCGCAATAGTGGAAGAAGTTATTCATATTTTATTTACATTTAAAAATAAATGAATAAACACCTAAGATTCCATACAAAACTATATTATTTAATACTTACTATTATTAGATTCATTATCACTGATGACTCAATTGACGTGGGATCAACTTGATAAGTATTTATCACAAAGGAAGTTGGATCAAGTTTGTCGATATTTTTTAACTTGCAACAACTTGTGCCCAAGGGTATCTGGAAGACTCTATTCGGTTGCATCATACTAGAATGTAAAGAATCACATTTAAATGTTTTAACACAATGTCGCATAGATTCGATCGCAACATCCTGCGTAATATTGCCTTGCGCGAGAAATTGAATGTACAGACGATTGGTAAAAGATTTTGCAAAATTTTGGAAATCTTCAAAACTGATATGTTGTAGAGCATTGTGCATATCAATGTATGTATAATGGACTAACTTTAGTATCCATAATCTCACATCCCTACAAAAAAGATTAAAGATATATTTATTATTGTATAATTAGCAAAAAGTATAACCTTTATTATAATGTATTTCACAAAATTAATTCTTTTTAATATCTATTAATAGTTTCTTTCAATTATATAAGAATTTCATAATATTATTGCAATTATATATTTGACAATAAATAGCCAGTACTCAGCGAGTTTCTCAGGTCTACTGAATGTGCAGTTATAGGCATCAACTTGTTGATCTCTGATTATTTCAAACATTTTCTTCGTAACTTGGTTTGAACAGTTCATCATGCATCTTGTTATAGTTAACAACAATAACTGTAATATAAATAAAATAAAAATAATGTATTTCGAAATTATATTTATAACTTTGACGCATGATTTGAATGTATATACTTACTAGCGGCACGGGTCCCGATATTTTTATTATAATTCCTTTTCCACTAACATCGATGTCATAGACGTACCCAGTCTGTACAGTTGAACATGATTCATCCACCAGCCGTTTTATCATGTTGCAGTACACTGATATGAGAGCGGCACTGAAATATTATTAACAAGAGAAGTTTTTTAAAAATAAAAGATGCAAATAAAAAATTACGGAAAACGTATTGATAATTTCAACTTAGAAATTAGTGCAACTTATAAGGTCAGTAGCACTACATTGTAGTATTATTATTATACATTAGTCATGCTAGGTTACTTACTTCTCCGGTGACTGAAGTCCTAGGTGGGAAATAATATGTATATACATATAAGATTTTGGCAAACCAAACTTGGGATCCGGGCGATACCAAAGCTCTGACACACTATCACTGTACCATTTTACAGGATATTTTGGAACTTTTGTGGGCATTATTTCTAATAAACGTTCAATATCAAAGCATTCATTCTCAATCGGTAAATAAAAATTTGGCAATGGCTCGATGGATTTCCAGTGTTCGATCCATTTCTGTGATATCTCAATGTCTGTATAGCATGCTTTCGACCATGAATCGACTTTATCTAATTCCAGACTGTCAAAGTCTTTGCCGAAAATCGTAATATTCGCAGTCTCTGGCGTCAAATAATCCAAAATTTTTGTTATAACTTCTGGATCATATTCAAAATAAAGCGTGCTTCCAGTTATATAATCGCGCGATGGATAGAGATGCAAATTTATACATAAATCTTTCACATTATCCGCTGGATGCTTTTCATCAAGATATCTAAAAAGACCTTCAAGTATAAGTGGCGTTCTTCATAAAAATTTTATTTTTTCAATCATCTTTCATATATCTATTTATTTCTAAAACTAGTTTACCTAAGTTTAATTTCTGTACTCTTACTAAACTCATCGTAAATTCTTTTTTGCGGACCTTCCTTCTTTAGCAAATTGATGTAGGAAAATATCCCTTCTAGAACCTCCATCATATGTTGTTTTCCTTCATTGGAGAGATCTATAATAATCTTGAATAAGCAGTACGTGAAAGTATGTGTACTGTGACAAAGTTCATCATTGAAAGGAATAATCCACATTTTTTTACGTAGATAACTAATTAGGGAACCCTTTCCTTGATGTTCAATAAGCCGCGAGATATATCGATATGGTTTACTTTTATATAAATGAAATAGCGAAGGCATGATCCATGTTATTTCTAGCTGCAAAAGTCAAATTTTATTTTACGTATTTATATTTTTACGTGTAGTGTAAACATAAAACGTAGTATAAACTTTTTTTCGACCTGATCAAATTTTAGTCACATACTTGTCTAAAATGTTTCGAATGATAAACTTTATACATTTTTTGAAAAGCGGCGGTATCAAACGGAATATCATTTTTGAATTCGGTAGAGTCATTGGGAGATATTTCATTAGTTGGAATATTAACAAAACGCGTATCAATTGTGACATATTGTTCCAACGTATTCAGCGGTAATCTTGCCTATAAAAAGATGTATCATGTTATAAATTTTAATCTTATTTTAGAAATAAATAAATTGTATACTGTAAAAGTAATTAATTGTTTGTCGCAATTTTAACAAAATTACCTGTATAACCAGCTTTATTCTTCGAGCACTATAATGGCGCTTTGTGAATTTTTGTAGCTCTTCATATAATTTCGTGTAATTCAAATTTTCCAGCACTTTTAGAATACGTTCCTCAGTAATCTTGTTGATTGGGTGATCAGTTCTCGTAAAAGAGGAAAGTTGTGGTTCATGAGCCGTGTCTTTGGCAAAATTTAAGGCTTTCCGAAGTTCTACATAAATAGGATATTTTAAGATTGCAAGTTGCAACAATAGTACTATGAGTATAATCTACCTTTTTTTACATCTCGATTCTGCATAAATGCTTCTTTTTCCGGTAGAGGGTTAATGAAAAATTCAGCAAAAGGAATGAGAACTGATAAGAAGTGTTTCTCTTGAATATCAAAGATAAACGATGTACATCCGAGATTAAGGAAGCTAGTACAAGTGCCTCCATGTTTATATGCAATTTTTTCTAAATCATATTTCTGCAAGTAAGATAATACTTAAACAATCTAATATACAAATAAATAAATTTTATATCAAATTTGTACGTGTCATGTTTTAATACTTGGCAATATTTTTCGTATTCAGTCACAAGGATATGCTCGAAGAAAAATGATATGCCTGGAAATTCTGGTGGTTCTTTGAAAATTCCTGTTCTGAGACATAAGGAACATGCTGCCTATTTAAAAAAATACATTTATGTACGTATCACGCATTATACGCTGAATATTAAATTGAGAAATAAATACAATTAATGGAATGAGTCGTAAATGATTTAAAATTGTGAGTAACACATTTTGAAATTAATTAATAAAAAATTCTTCTGCAGTTATATATATACATAGTTGGAGAAAATCAATTTTTTCAAACCAAAATTTTTAATAATACAATTAAATCTTGAAAAGATAGATATCTTTTTAATTATAGGCCTGTCTTTGATATATCACAATTTTGATAAAATTTAATAATAAGATAAGTAAAAAAAATTGGTGTAAAGTATATCCTAAAATGCACATTAAATTATCTCTTTCCTACCTTCATTTCATTTTTCATATCTTGTTGCTGAGAAGAGCATGTCTTTAAATTTTCGTCGGATATTAGCAAAACTTCTACACCGTTCGGTAATCTGATGGCTCTAAATTTAAAAGACAATGCAAACAAAATATTAATAAAATGAAACGTCAATGAGAATGTTGTGCACAGGGCCGGTAACTTATTTCGCCCGTGGAATTTTTGACTGACGAAAGGAAGGGTGGAGAGTACAAAATGACGTATTTTTTTTATTTTTTATTTATTTTGTGCTTTTTGTCGTCCCTTTTTTACAATTGCAAATTGCGACGCTCTGTCTAATAGTCATTAAGGGATCATTTATATTGACCGTAACCGTATGCTGTAATTTGTAAGAATTGATTATATGATATTCGAGTATTCCCCTCTCATTCAATTGTAAGAGAGGAATGTTTGACTGTGATTAGTTAATTCTTATAGATAACGGCATACAGCACACAATTACGGCTAGTATAAATGATCTCTAAAAATTGAATCTCTGCTATGCGCGCAGTTGTACTGCCTTGACATCATCTCACCTATATTCCTTCTTGTCATTCTCCGATTTGACGGGTGTTTCCAGATATTCAACTTGACAACTCTTTTTGTCTCCAGTCGCTTGCTCTACCTTTTGCATTGTATCGATCGATTGTAATACGATCCGATGAAAGAATTCTCAATATTAAGTCGTTTCTGGTTGACGTAGCACAATTTTAATCAGCACTCTAACCGATATTAGGCCTCCTTCTTCCGTTATTCCACTTGCCTTCAAACAGAGGTCGATATACGAATAACACACACACATGTGTATATTGTAAGCAAAGGTGGTACATGTTTATTAACTTGTATGATGCACTGGTCTGAGAGCCAATAGTCTAGCGAGTCAGTTAATGTACTATCTGTTCTTATATTTAATATCGTTTAAATATAACCTTAAAGTATTATAAACCAATCATTGAGTCTTAATAACGTTTTAATGTATTACTTAAAACGGATAACTTTAAATAAGAACTAACTATAAATGTCTACCTAACATTGTAAAGGTGATACTTTTCTCTAATTACCATTAAAATTTTATATAAAAATAATATAAAATGGAGGCGCTATTCAAATATTCGTAAGTCATGTTTTATAAAACGGGTGATCGTTGCTATTCGCACAAGACTCGTCTGAAAGCAAAATGGTTCAAGTTTTATAAAATTGAAACATAGATCTTGTGCCAATGTAGCCGGTTTTTTAAATATTGCGTTTGAATAAAATGGCAGCTGGTCAAAGTTAACATAACGATTTTCACAAAAAATTTGGCCGTTTTTGGCTACGAAAAAAAACTTAGCGTATATTATGGTAGGAAAAAAATCCTTCGTCAAGAACTAGTTTTGTAGAAAAAGTGTGCAAAATTGCAAATCAATCGGTCGAGTCATCTTCAAGATTTAGTATGTAGTCACGGTTTTGAAAATTATACATTTTAAGTAAAGTTTTATATTCAGTTCGTACTTTTCGTTGTTAACGTTTTAACCTCTTCAGTTGCTCGTCCAGACAAAACTGTTATGTCAACCCAACCGTCCGTATTTTTAAATGCAGCTCTGAGGCATGCTATTGAAAAATACAATGAATAGAGGAAGACCCTTTTTTGACCTGAGCGAACCTGAACTGTCCTGTCGCAGGCGCGCCTATACACCTGTCGTTTTCAACGCGCTCGAACCTACTTGTCTATAATGCTATATTGAATGAGAATCATCGGTAAATTGAGTTGAACTTCTTATATCATTCATTTTTTCTTCTGTTATTAAAAAAAGTAGATGAACAATATGCAAGGAGTTCAATTGAAAAGAATAGACTAACTATTAGAGATTGTCAACTTTAAACAAATTTTCATAATTATCGAAGGGTTCTGGAAGACGCAGAGATAATTTAAGAATATCAATATTTTTTTTATTATTCATATTGTGATTATAAATGTGAATATAAATATTCGAAAATATATAAGTTATAGATCTATATGATAATATTGGTAAGAAAGAAAAAGAAAAAGGATATACAATATATGATGTCTATTTAAAATATAAAACTCGAAACCCCCCCATCCTTAATGAATGTTGCATTAATTTAAAATATTTATATTGTATATTACTTATTAATAGTCACTAAATCTGACTTTTAGAAGCAAATGCTCTACCTATTTTTTTTATGCTCACCGAATCACGAAATATTCTTTTCCGAGAGAATAGGAAGCTGAGCAGTTGACTTAAAAAGCAGCTAAATTAAAAAATTTCCTTCTTTTCTCGAGAGTATAATATTTTGTCTTTCATTAATTATTTTAAAATATTATTCCTACACAACACTTATGCACACACAAAGTAAAGTTTTTGTAGGATCCTCCGTTTAGTTTATAAAAAAATCTTGCTCAACTGGTGTGCAGCTTTTGTGAAAAAATACGAATTTTAAATCAATTAAATTAAGTATGAAAATTTTTGATACGAGGAGAGGAAAGAGAAAGAGAGTAGGAAAAAGAGAGTGAAAAACATGTTTTATTGAAAACATTTTGTCGTGTTTAGAATACAAATAAAAAACATGAAAAATTACATCTTGAGCAAATACTTTACTTCCTAATTAGCATCCTCCTTTATTATCACAGTATATGTTTTTGTCTACTTATTACAGTTACTTTTAATATGTTTCTATTATATATCTGTTTATATTTTCTTATTAAAAAAAAATATCATTAATATATAAAACTAACAATTCTAATTTTAATGTGGAAAAATTTCATTATATTAACTTTGAATATTCTAGTTCTGTAGCAAAATGCAAAATTCTGTAACTGTTATAACAATAGCTATTAAGGTAATGCAAGTTATAATTTTATTTTCATTATACTATTAAATCTTTTTAATGTGTCACTTATTCTGTGCTCTGAGAGGATTAGTTGGAACCCTTAATTGGAAACATGAAGAGTTTTTTCATGTGATTATCTACTTTAGTAATATAATGATTTTTAATTTGCTTACTCTGCTGATGATCGTCGTTTATGTATTCCAAACCAATATATTTCGCATTTTTAAGAATAATTCCTACAACACGTGTAAGCTCAATTTTCTAAAATTACTTTGATTGAATGTATTTTCTGCAAGCCGTTCCCTTAACTTAATAATATTAATTTTCTCTAGAGTAAGTATTTCCTGCTCGTGTAAATCAAATATGTAAGTACGTTTCACGATTTTCTTCCAGTTTCTGTCAACTTCTTCTTCAAGAGTGACGTCATCACGTAGTCTAGATTTTAAGAACATTCTTTGTAAAGATCCCGTTTCTCTTCTGTAAGCTTTTCCAAATCGTTTTTAAACTATCTCAAAAATTCGTCGATCTTCTTATCAACGTACTCGGTTGCATATTTATCTGCTTGAGTGCAAACAGTAATGGAATATCCTAAAATTCCGTTAATATCTCTAAAGTCGACTACGTTATATACAAACTTATCAATAGATAGACCTTCGTGTAACTTGTCGTCCATTATAAACTGAATGCAAGTGCAAGTTAATGAGATGTGCAGGTAAAATCAATCGTGATAATTAAAGATCTTATTTATATTTCATTTACTTTTAAAAATAAATAAATATACACCAAAGATTCCATGCGTTCAAAATATATAAAACAATATATGTTATTTAAGGGGATCTTTAAGTTGTCTATATCATCGATTAAACGCAATAATTTTTGTATAACAATTACTTCTTTCTCTTTTACAGATTAGAAAATCTTTTTCCATGATTAAAGTATACGCATTAATACGTGTCTGTGAGATAAAATTTATGCCAAGAACGAAAAAAATGACTTAAATTGAGATCTTCTTTATCATTTCTTACTCCAATATGATGTTATCAATATCGAAACAACATTTACTCTAAAAGCTTTGCAATCTGTCTATACTTACGAAATTGTAGCCCACAGACTAATAGTTTAAACAAACAACGCGGAATTCTTAAAATTAGATTTAAACATCTAGTTAAAACGCTATTGTTCCATAAAAATTTATGTATATGTATGCGTGAAATATTGGTGTAGTAGTACATAAAGATGTGTTGCATTTTGTCGGTAAATAGCGATCTCGTCGGAGTTTGGGCTTCAGTTTAGGATCCCCTTAATACTTACGATTTTCAGACTGATTAATGTCGATAATTCAATCGTTGTGACGCCGTTTTGTTAATAATTTGTTATCATGGAAGTTGTATCTAATTTGTTGATATTTTTAATCTTGTAATAGCTTATGCCCAAAGGTATCTGCGTGCCTTTAAGCTGTTGTATCGTATTTGGGTATAAAGGACTACAATTAACTGTTTTAATAAATTACTCTACGGTCTTGATCGCAGCAATCAATGTTATATGTTTTCGACAATTTCCTTGCACGAGACATTGAATATATATTCGGTAAATGATTTCACAAAGTCTTGAAAGTCTTTCAAAGTGATATCATATGGACCAGCAGTATGCATATCAATTTGTGAATGATGGATGCCCTGTTGAAAATTCTTGTAAGTTTTTTTAATCAGGTCTTAAAAGAGTTGTATGTGATCAGTCAAGATTACTAAATGAACATACATGATCATATAAGAATCTTATATATTATAATTTGTACATGAATCTCACCAGTAATCTTTAATGACTTAGGAATCTGAAATGAATCGTACATGACGATTTATATCGCAATGAAAATCTTGCCTTAATCGTATAAGAAACTTTTAAAAAGTAGTTTCTTTACAGGATCATTTAAGAATATGGTATTAATTATATATGATTCTGAAATGTTTTCATGAAAAAAGATCATTTATCAATTTTAAGAGACATAGGTACGGAATAATTTATTTTCCAAGTTGATACAAGAATCTGCCATGAATCGTACACGATGATTTATAACGCAATGAAAAGATATTGCCTTAACCTTATAAGAAACTCTCAAAAATTAATTTCTTTACAGGATCTTCCAAGAATATGGTATTAATTATTTATGATTCCTAAGTGTTACATGAAAGATTATGTATCAGTCTTAAAAAACGTATAGTTACGAAATAATTTATCTTTTAAGTTGGTGCAGAAATCTGGCATGAATCTTACACGACGATTTTTATCACAATGAAAAGATTTTAATTACTGTAGCCTAATAAGATTTTGGTAATTATACATATTAACGGACACCGCGCCGATGACCTTGATCTTGATGTATGTTATCAAGGTCATGGCTCTGAGTGATCTCCGACAGTTTTTAGGTGGCGGTTGTCCTTCGTTAAAAAGTTATTAACAAAAAAAAGTTCGCGGGTGAAAGTCGTGCGCCCCTTTGCAGGGAGGAGGGGAGGACAAGAGTCGAGGGCGAAAGCTACCTAAAACTTATTGGAAGTTTTTCAAGGTCATGACCTTGACAACATATGTCAAAGTGGCGGTTGTCGGTACGGCGTCCCCTACAGTGCATAACTATCAAACATATTTTAAAACAGGGAATTCTCGTGATATATAAATGAACTTTTTTGTTAATAACTTTTTAACGAAGGATAACCATCACCTAAAACCTATTGGAGATCACTCAGGGCCATGACCTTGACAACATACATCAAGGTTAAAGTCATCGGCGCGGTGTCCGTTAATGTGTATAATTACCGACATTGATAATATTCGACGTAAATCGGGCTTTTGAAGTACAAGTGCTTTGCCTATTTTCTTAATTATGCTCGCGAGCAGGAT